TTATGTTTTATTAGTAGTTTGCTTTTTGTTTTTTGGTTTTTTTTTGGTGCTAGTCCTAGGGCCTAGGTATCCTTGAGTTTTGTTGTTGTTGTTGTTGGGATTGAGCTCAGGGCCTGGACACTGTCCCAAAGCTTTTCTGCTCAAGGCTAGTACTTTGAGTACTGCTCCACTTGGTTTTCTGGTGGTTAATTGGAGATAAAGAGTCTCAAAGACTTTCTGATCTCAACCTCCTAAATATCCAGGATTACAGGCATGAGCCACCAACACCTAGGCCTGAGCTTTTTTGCATGTAAGACTAGGGCTCCGGGCTGGGAAGGTGGCTCAGTGGTAGAGCGCTTGCCTTGCAGGCATGAGGCCCTGGGTTCGATTCCTCAGCACCACATAAGCAGAAAGAAAAAAGCCGGAAGTGGCACTGTGGTTCAAGTGGTAGAGCCCTAGCCTTGAGCTGAAGAGCTGAGGGACAGTGCCCAGGCAGAGTTTAGGCCCCACGATCGGACCCCCCAAAAAAAAAAGACTAGGGCTCCACTACTTGAGCCACAGTTCCATTTCAGATTTTTTGCTGGTTAATTGGAAATAAGAGTTTCACAAACTTCCCTGTCTGGTCTGGCTTCTAACCATGATTCTCATGGTCTTAGCCTCTTGAATAGCTAGGATTACAGGTGTGAGCCACCAGCACCTGATTTCCCCAGTTATTTTATTGAAATGAAGTTTCATTCCTCCTGCCCCCAGTGGCGCCACAGCGCCACTTCCAGCTTTTTTCTTTTTGCTTATGTGGTGCTGAGGAATCGAACCCAGGGCCTCAGGCATGCAAGGCAAGCGCTCTACCACTGAGCCACCTTCCCAGCCCCATGCCCCCAGTTCTTAACTGGCCTGAAACCACAGTCATGATCTATACTTACAGAAATAGCTAGTACTATTGCATGTCTCTGTCTCTCTCTCTCTCTCTTTTTTTTTTTTTGGCCATTGCACAGAGCTTGAACTCAAGACCTTGAGCTCTTGTTCAACTTTCTTCTTCACAGAGGTTGCTCTGCCACTTGAGCCACTCATGCAAAGGCAAGAGCTTTCCCATTAAGCTATGTCCCTAGTCCCTCTGATCATTTGATAGTCCAAGCAATGATATTTGGAGGCTCAAAAAGATTTTCTTCTACTAGAACTTTAAGGTTCTCTGTGATTAATAGAATGCTCAAAATGCAGTGGGTACTTTCAATATAACACATATATGAAATGTAACACATAAATTATCAGTTTCATAAAAATCCAGAGAACAGTCATTGTTAACAATGCTGCAGAGAGGGGCTGGGAAGGTGGCTCAGTGGTAGAGTGCTTGCCTTGCATGCATGAGGCCCTGGGTTCGATTCCTCAGCCCCACATAAGCAAAAAGAAAAAAGCTGGAAGTGGCGCTGTGGCTCAAGTGTTAGAGTGCTAGCCTTGAGCTGAAGAGCTGAGGGACAGTGGCCAGGCCCAGAGTTCAGGCCCCACGACCGGGCCCAAAAAAACAAACAAACAAAAAAAAAAACAACAATGCTGCAGAGAGCATATAATAGCTGTCTTCCTGTGTGGGGTTCTCTACCTCTGTTCTTACCCCAAGCAGAGTTTAAAAGGTACTTTGGAAGGTTCCCTTTACTCATCATCTAAGCAACTTCTTCCTGAATATGTCAGATTGTCCGATTATACATAAGCTAAATATCTTCCAACACCATGAAGTACACTTATTCCCCTCACCCTCTAATAAAAATACCAGCTTACGTTGTACTTGGTGCTCTTCCAACTATTAATTATTGGATATTTTCACATAGTATCTCTGAAGTTAGATGGATAAATTGTTGGTGGTATATCCATTTTCCATGGGAAACGTGCTATAATAGTAGCTTAGGCATTATTACATGGCTAGTGAAAGAGTAAGTCCTGAATTTGATATTAGCATTCAGTATTCTGATTATCATGTTGTTTATTTAGCCCCCTTTTTATGTCTAGCACTAGTCTTGAAATTATCTCTAGTCCTTGTATCTTTGCTGCCAAGATATTTCCTGCCATGTTGCAATGTTCACAAATGAGCCAGGCATATTAGAGGATTATGGTTCAAAGCTAGCCCAGGCAGAAAAGTCCCTGAGATTCCATCTCCAACTAACCAGCAAAAAAATCTGGGCTGTGGGCATGGCTCAAGTGGTAGAATGCCAGCAAAGAAAGGCAAAACAAGAGCATAAGGCCCCTGAGTTCAAGCTGTGGTGTGAGGATGGGGGGCAAGGTGAGAGGGAAGACCCAAAAAGGTGAAATGGTTTACTAAAATTCATGTAGATTGCAAAGGACAGGTGAATAGTGCAGTTTTGTTGCTGTATTACTGCTTGATACACAAGGACTAATGCTAGTTTTTCAGGTTTGTGGATAGTGAACTGAGCAAGAGATTAGATTTTGTCTGTAAGCAGAATTCTCATAGGTGAGTTCTTGCCTACATCTAAGCTTTCATTTAGGAAGAACATACAGTTTAGTGTGCTGAAGGGGGCTGCTCCACCTTTGTTATTCTGCCAAATGCTGAATGTTAAAGCACATCTGACAGCTAAGCTCTCCTCAGGCCTTTGGCGCCCTTGCTGTAAAGGCAGGTGGTCTGAAGAAAGGCTCCCTCTAGGTTGTTGCACACTGTACACAACACATAGCAGTGCGAGACAACTGTCATTTCCTTCCTTCCCTCTCTCTACCCCTCCAGAAAACCGGGCCCCAGATGGAAGAGCTGGAAACATGTCAACTGTTCTCTGAAGGGCATTGAGAAAACACTGTCAGGGAGAAAAAAGGCAAGCGCAACAGCTCATTAGTCCACTAATCAGACAGGACAGCCATCAGTTTCACAAAAATGTCCTGGACAGAGAGATGGCAGGGGCTGACAGTTTTGCCCACGTGGTTCTCAGAGGACTGCATATCCTTAAGAGGATTTGTAACATGGGGACTTGGCATCCTTGACTTTCTTTCTTCATTATATCCCTTTCCAAAAATAAGGCCACTGCAAACTGAAATGTAAAATAATACTTGGGGGATTTTTTTTTTCCTCATTAGAACATGTTCTGCGCAGAGAGATGCCTTCTGGTATCATGAACACTTTGATATGGGTTGTCTTCATAGATGTGACTTCACAGAAAGGAAACTGCCTGTACATTCTCATTTCATCCTCTCCTGCCTGTTCCTTGCACTTTAAATTGAATCCGGCAGTTACTGAGATTGAAGACCTGGTGCTTAAGTGAAAAGCTTGGAATTACTAAGGAGCATAGATCGATATAAAGTGTTTATGTGTGTGTGTGCTTAAGACAGGATCCCGAGGGCCACATGCCAGGGGCTCATATCTGTAAGCCTAGCTACTCAGGAGACTGAGATCTGAGGATCTCGGTTCAAAGCCAGCCTGGGCAGGAAAGTCTGGGAGATTCTTATCTCCAATTAACCACCAGAAAAAAAAAGTGGTGCTGTGGCTTAAAGTAACTTTTTTGCTAGGCACTGGTAGCTTATGCCTGTAATCTTACCTACTCTGGAGGCTGAGATCTAAGGATCAAGGTTTGAAGCCAGCCCAGGCAGGAAAGTCTATGAAACCCTTACCTTCAATTAATCAACAAAAAGCCAGAAGTGAGTATGTGGCTTAAGTGGTAGAGTGCTAGCCTTGAGCTAAAGATGAGCAAGAACAGGAGGTCCTGTGTTCAAGCCCTAGTACCAGCACACACCAAAAAACCATAACCCTCCCCCCCTCAAAAAAAATCCCAAAAAACTTCTTAAAAAAGATAGTAGGAGGGCTGGGAAGGTGGCTCAGTGGTAGAGCACTTGCCTTGCATGCCTGAGGCCCTGGGTTCGATTCCTTAGCACCACATAAGCAAAAAGAGAAAAGCCGGAAGTGGCGCTGTGGCTCAAGTGGTAGAGTGCTAGCCTTGAGCTGAAGAGCAGAGGGACAGCGCCCAGGCCCAGAGTTAAGACCCCACGACCGCCCCCCCCAAACAAAAGATAGTAGAATATTATCAAACATTATTTAGTCTTAGTCATATCAATTAGGACCTAATTAGAGATACTAATTTTCAACTCTCCTTACTTTGTTGGTATGTATAAAAATTTAGTACATTGTTACTGTTAGTAATTTCTATATAACTGATTAAGAGTCTGTTCCATGTCATGCAGTTGAAACCTGGTCTAGACTCTAGAAAATTCCTGTGTTCACTTCTTTCTCTAATTTGCTTTTTTTTTTTTTTTTTTGGCCAGTGTTAGGGCTTGAACTCTGGACCTAAGCACTGTCTCTGAGTTTCTTTTACTCAAGGCTAGCGTTTTACCATTTAAGCCACAGCACCACTTCCAGACTTCTTTCTTCTTCTTCTTCCTCCTCCTCTCTTTCTTCCTCTTCTTCTTTTCTTCTTCTTCTGGTTAATTAGACATAAGAGTCTCATGGACTTTTCTGCCCAGGCTGGCTTTGAACTACGATCCTCAGATCTCAGCCTCCCAAGCAGCTAAAATTACAGGTATGAGCCACCAGATCCCAGCTCTGTCTGAACTTCCAATGGCTGCTGATAACCCTTAGCAGGTATTGGTTTGTAGGAACATTACTTCAGCCTATGCCTATATTCTCAAATTTTTTTTTCTGTGTGACTGTCTTCACATCTGCCTCTCTGTGGATATTTCTGTCTTGTCTTTAAGGACACTATTCAGGTTGGATTTTTTTACCTGCCCAGAAAGTCTATGGAGATTTAGCTGTTTGGTCATGGACACATGCACTCATTATACTAAGCATCTTCTCTTAGTCCTCTCGGAAAGCATATTGGTGCTCTGTATAGTTTTTTGTTTTGTTTTGTTTTGTTTTTGTCGGTCGTGGGGCTTGAACTCTAGGCCTGGGCGTTGTCCCTCAGCTCTTCAAGTCAAAGCGAGTGCTCTACCTTGAGCTATAGCGCCACTTCCATCGGAAAGCATATTGGTATTTCAAATTGTTGTTGCTATTTTTATTATCTTACAGAACTCTGACTTCCCATTTCTCTTATTCTCTGCAGTTGGTTCTGAAAAAAAAGTGCCAGCAATGCCTGGATCGCCTGCAGAAGTGAAAATACAGTCACGATCTTCGCCTCCCAGCATGCCACCCCTCCCACCAATAAATCCTGGAGGACCGAGGCCAGTGTCCTTTACTCCTACAGCATGTGAGATTGCTTAATTACTTGGATTTGTATTTTAGAATAATTGAATCTCATGACTGACTTCCATTGTCTTCCACATATACTATGTAACATTTTGAAATTGTTATTCAAATATAAAAGCCAAGAATGGTGGTTCATGTTTGTAATCTCAAGAGGCTAATACCAGAGGATTTCAAGGCCCAGTTCAATATATTAAGGTAGTACAATTATAGAAATAAGTATTCAGAGTGAGGCATATCTCAAGTGGTAGAGCACCTGCCTAGCAAGCACAAGGTCCTGAGTTCAAACCTTAATATTCCTATCACTCCCCCCCTCCAAAAAAAAAAAAAGAAGGGAAAAGGAAAAACTACATGGTAGCTCAAGCCTACAATTGTACCTACTTGGAAGGCAGAGACCTGGAGAATTATGCTTCTAGGCCAGCCCAGGGAAAAGTGTACAAGACTCCATCTCAACCAATTTTTAGGTATAGTGTTATGCACATATCGTTCCAGCTATAAGTGGACAAATAATTCAGATCAACCAGGATATGAAGTGAAACAAAATAATGTAAAAAAGGGTGGTGGACTGGCTCAAGTGATAGAGTGCTTGCCTAGCAAGCTTGAATATGTGAGTGCAAACCTGAATACTTCCAGCAACTGCTGGTTATGGAGATAAAATTCTTGGTGATTTATATGCCCTGGCTGGCCTCCAGTCTGAATACCCTCTACCTCACTTTTTTCCCTTCCTTCCTTCCTTCCTTCCTTTTTTTATTGTGAAAATACTGTACAGAGGGGTTACAATTACATGAGCAAGATAATGAGTACATTTCTTATCAAGCATTGTAGCCTCTTCCTTTGTTTCCCCTTCCCATCCCTTCCCATCTTCCCTCTGCCCCCCCACCCAATCCTCCCTGTCCCCCCCTCCCCTCCCCTCCCCCCCCCTACCCCCCGCACCAAAGTTGTAAAGTTCGTTTTCGACATAACGACTTGTACATCTCATTGTTGCAATGGGTCCACCTGTATCCCTATTTAAACGATTTGTTTTTCCCCTTCCCCTCCACAAATTATGCTGACATCAAATACAGTGAAAGCAGGGGTTATCTGTGGGGGAGGGACATACAAAGCAACGAAGAAATAATCTTATAAATGTGTTAGAAACAATCGCATGAAAGAAAAAAAAAACATTCGACTTGCTTGCTTTTTTTGCATAGTGTGTAAGCTAATTTCAAATCCAAGATCTTCCTGCCTCAACAGGAACTGTAAGTGTACTCCACCACACATTGCTTCTCTGCTTTTACAGCACTGTACATTTCTGGGCTACTTTTTGTTAGGTTGCTTATTTTCATTATTGCCAAGCTGGGATCACACTCCTGGGCTCTATCAGTCCTCCTACTCAGCCTCCCAGTGTCTGGGACTATGGGTACCTGCCACCACAATTTGCTTTACATGTTTGTTTAACAGTTTTTTAAAACCACACAGTCTGTCTGAATATATAGCAATCTTATTGAGAACAGAAACAGAATACTTACTTAACATCTGCTTTGCAAAGTTTCAGTGAAAGAAAACAGGAGAAGAAATCAACCAGTGACCCTTGTATTCTGCACTTAAACTCAGTCATTTTGGCTCTCTTTTAGTAAGCAATGGCATCAGCCATTCTCCTCCTACTTTGAATGGTGCTCCTTCACCACCACAGAGATTCAGCAATGGTCCTGCCTCTTCCACATCATCTGCACTAACAAATCAACAATTGCCAGCCACTTGCGGTGCCAGACAACTCAGCAAGTTGAAACGCTTTCTCACCACTTTGCAACAGTTTGGCAATGATATTTCCCCTGAGATTGGGGAGAAGGTTCGGACTCTTGTTCTAGCATTGGTGGTAAGTACACTACAAAGTACAGCATCACTGTTGATGGCTGCCTGAGTTCATGGCTCAGGTCTACAGCCAGTAGAGAAATTGTTTTTGCTTGTTCCCAAACCTGTAAAAATGTGGTAGATTCTACAGACTAGATTAGTTAATAATAATAATAATAAAAAAATATATATATATAAAGCAGTTGAATTGGCTATTTCATGATAATAGTGCATTAAAAAAACAAAGTCTATAATGATTTTCTTATTGCTTAAGGTACTAATTTAATGCCAATAAGCAGCTTTGAATTTGTCTTAAAACTGTTTTCAACAATCCTGCTGAGATCCAACCAAGTTAATGCAAGGTTTTTTGTAATTTAATATATTCGGTGGCTGGTGCATTATTTCCAAACCAAAGAGAATAAAAAAGTAGCCATTTTAATTTTTGAAATGATTGGTAAAATTGTAAGTTTCATAGTCTAAACATATAGTATCAAAGTGATTACATTGTTCAGCTCCTCGTGTGTGTGTGTGTGTGTGTGTTTGTGTCTGTGTGTTTCTGTGTCTTTATTTAGAATTTTCAAGGTGTGTGTGATTTTCTTTGGTACTGATCATGGTGAGGCTGTACTATGAAGGATGATTTTCTGAATTGATTGAGGAAAGAGATTTAACTCTGAATTTAGAAGGGAAATGTTATCACTCTTTAAAGTCTCATTTTTGGCCAGGTGCCAGTGGCTCACACCTGTAATCCTAGCTACTCAGGAGGCTGAGATCTGAGGATTGTGTTTAAAGCCAGCCGGGGCAGGAAAGTCCATGAGACTCTTATCTCCAATAAGACCATCAGAAAACCAGACATGGTACTGTGGCTCAAGTGGTAGAACACTTGCCTTGAGCTGAAGAGCTGAGGGACAGCACTCAGGCCCAGAGTTCAAGCCCCAGGACAATAAAAAAAAGTCTCATTTTTGAAAGTGTAATTCAAGGGAGACTCTTAAGGTTCCCATGATCCTTAGGGAGGTCTAGGAAAAAACTACTTTTATAATGCTACTACTAAGATTTACTGCCTTTTTATTATTCTCTCAAGAGTGGGCAGTGGAATTTTCTAGGGACTACAGGACATGAGATGTTACAAAGTAGTAAATGCAAATAGTAGAATCAAGCTGTCCTCTATCATGCTAGAGGGCTGGCGGCTCGTGCCTATATTCCTAGCTACACAGGAGGCTGAGATCTGAAGATTAAGGTTTGAAGCCAACCCGGCCACGACAGTCTGAGATACTCTTATCTCCAATTAGCCACCTGAGCTGCTCAAGTGGTACAATGCTAGCCTGAAGCAAAAGAAGCAAAGGGACACTGCCTAGGTCCTGAGTTCAAGTCTCAGGATCAGCAAAGGAATGAATGACTGAATGAATGTTTAGATATACTTTTCATAACCAGAAACAGAATCACTGGGGTTTTTTTGTTTGTTTGTTTGTTTTTACAGTTGAGCTTCTAACACTTCTTTTTACTTTGGAAATTATCGTTAAGCACAGACCTTACTTAAAGTAATTTGCTGCTGAAATGGGCATAACATTCAGCGAGCTTCTACCATTTAGGAAGCAGTTTGGTTAACCTTTTGAGTGAGGTCTCAATTCAGGGTTCAGTATTGTGAGACTGTATTCAGTTTTAGAAACTGAACATTATCTTTTCAGAACTCAACAGTGACAATTGAAGAATTCCATTGCAAGCTCCAGGAGGCCACAAACTTTCCTCTTCGTCCCTTTGTGATTCCATTTCTCAAGGTAACAGTGGGAACCACAGAACATAATTTATCTTCAGCATTTCCTCAGAATCTTCCTGATCACTGTTCTGCCATGCAAATCAGGGTAGCTCTCTACATTTTCATATGTTTGTTTTATTTTGGGCTGGTAGAGAGGTGTGAGTGCAATCTGTAAATAACTCTCCTGCATGATGAGATGCAGATTGCAAAAGCCTTGAGTGTGGTCTGTGGGCAGACACTGTTGGTAATGCAAAGAATAAGAACAAGCAAGTACTAGAAGAAGGAGGAGGGGTAACTAGTCTGGAGGTGGAAAAAGTACGGGCTTTATAACAGAGTGTGTTATATGAGAGGAGAGGCCTGTGCACTTCTGATTTGCCACAAGGATAGGAGGATGTGAGAAGGCAGTTTTTTTCTCCCTAAGCCCCAGGTAACCCAGTCTTACATTCATGTCCTCTGGAATTTCATTTCCTGAAATAAATTTTTAGTTACTGTTTTAAATCATTGTGTTTATTTACCTGTTGTCACTGAGGTAGTGTTACATTTATACAGCTGACCTTTTAAAAAGCTTTTATTTTGGGCTGGGAATATGGCTTAGTGGTAGAATGCTTGCCTAGCATGCATGAAGCTGAGTTCAATTCCTCAGTACGACATACATAGAGAAAGCCAGAAGTGGCTTTGTGGCTCAAGTAGTAGAGTGCTAGCCTTGAGTAAAAATAAGCTCAGGGACAGTGCCCAGGCAGGCTCTGAGTTCAAGCCCCAGGACTGACAAAAAAAAAAGAAAACCCAAAACTTTTATTTTGAAATAATTTCAAACTCACAGATGAGCTATAAAATGGTATAATAAAACTTCTATATAGCCTTTATCCACATTCCTTAAATGTTAACATATTATTACATTTATCATCATTCTCTATTTTTCTCCCGAAATACTTGAGAATAAAAAAGCTACAGACATGATTAATGTAAATACAACTATCCAATCAGAAAATTAAGTTTTGATTCCACACTATTACTAGTCTATGGACTTATTTATATTTCATTAGTGTCCCACTTATGTGCTTTATAGCAAAACAAAACTTTTTCTAGAAGTTCTCAGGTTCAACCTTAGGGACTCATGCATCCTAGTCAGACACTCTACCATTTGAGCCACAACACCACTTCTGGCTTTTTCTGCTTATGTGGTGTTGAGGAATCAAATCCAGGGCCTCATGCATGCAAGGCAAGCACTCTACCACTAAGCCACCTTCCCAACCCATGTTTTTTCTTTTTAAGATAAAGTCTTATTATATATATCATACTATCTTAAAACATCATAATCCTCTTGCCTCAACTTACCACAGATAGTGATTACAGGTATATACCACCATGTCCAACATAATGCCACTTTTTAAAAATGTTTTGGGTGGCTGGGAAGGTGGCTCAGTGGTAGAGCTCTTGCCTTGCATGCATAAGACCCTGGGTTCGATTACTCAGCACCACATAAGCAAAAAAAGAAAAAAGCCGGAAGTGGTGCTGTAGCTCAAGTGGTAGAGCGCTAGCCTTGAGCTGAAGAGCTGAAGGATAGCACCCAGGCCCAGAGTTCAGGCCCCACGACTGGACCCCAAAAAAAAAAAGTTTTGATCCAGGCTATGTTGGCTCATGCCTATAATCCTAGCTATTCAGGAGGCTGAGATCTGAGGATCATGGTTCAAAGCCAGCCTGGGCAGGAAAGGCCGAGAGACTCTTATCTCCAATTAATCACCAGAAAACTGAAAGTGGCACTGTGGCTCAAAGAGATAGAGCATTAGCCTTGAGCAATAGAGCTCAGGGACAGCACCCAGGTCCTGAGTTCAAGCCCCACAACTGACCAAGAAAAAAAAAGTTTAGAATTGGCTCATAGTAGGCATATAGAGGAAATGTACAGGCCCATGTGTGGCTATATTCTAATACTGTGCAAGACCCAGCTGCTCAAAGCAGTCCTTGAAACTTTTCTAGTTCTGAAACAGCTGCATGTCAGAACCAGTAAACAATTATTCTCTAAGATTCTGGAATCAAGAAAGATTCCTGAAATTTGTATTAATAGAAATTAATTTGTGCTTTTCTTTCCTTCTTTTTTTCATTTTTAACCAAAGGACATATGCCACAAATGCAAACATAACTTTTTTTCAGTTCAGTTTTTACAGGTGCAATAAGATTGAGGTTAGAGAACAGACCTAAAGTGTTTTATATTGTTAAATTCTCTATTCTTAACTCTGTTATTTTGGAAAACAGCATGAGGTAGGTTGTTATGGCAGCTTTTTGGCTAGCATTTGGGGTTTTGTCAATTTATTTCTGCTTTAAAACAGTCACTAATTATGGTGCCTACCAAATTAACCCTCACCAAGGGGATGACTACTTGCATGTATTAAAACTCCTTTTGCTTGCTCATCTGTCCCTTGAGAATAAACTTCTGTTTCAGGCTCAGCCTGGATTATGCTTAAATAGGGAAAGAAAAATATTGTTCTTTTTTTTTAATAAAAGAAATATAGAGAACATAAATCCTGTTTTTTTTGTTTTTTTGTGTGTTTTTTTTTTGGGGGGTCCAGTTGTGGGGCCTGAACTCTGGGCCTGGGCACTGTCCCTCAGCTCTTCAGGTCAAGGCTAGCACTCTACCACTTGAGCCACAGTGCCACTTCTGGCTTTTTTTTTTTCTGCTTATGTGGTGCTGAGGAATCGAACCCAGGGCCTCAAGCATACAAGGCAAGCGCTCTACCACTGAGCCGCCTTCCCAGCCCAAATTCTGTTTATGAAAGTAGAATTCTGTGGTTTAAAAGATACATGGAGGGCTAGGAAGTTGGCTCGGTGGTAGAGCGCTTGCCTTGCATGCCTGAGGCCCTGGGTTCGATTCCTCAGCACCACATAAGCAAAAAGAAAAAAGCCAGAAGTGGTGCTGTGGCTTAAGTGGTAGGGCACTAGCCTTGAGCTGAAGAGCTGTGGGACAGTGCTCAGGCCCAGAGTTCAGGCCCCACAACTGGACCAAAATAAATAAATAAAAGATACATGGAATTTTTTTTGTGTGCCGGTCCTTTGGCTTAAACGCAGGGCCTGGCCGCTGTCCCTGAGCTGTTTTGTTCAAGGCTATAGCGCTCTACCACTTTAAGCCACATCTCTACTTCTGACTTTTTTTTTTGTAAGAACGAATGTATTTTATTTCACTGATTAGTGATTTTCCAATAATATTTTAATTAAATCACCATAACATACTGGCTTTTTGATGGTTTATTAGAGATAAGAGTCTCACAGAGCTAGGTGCTCATACCTGTAATCCTGTCTACTCAGAAGGCTTAGATCTGAGGATTGCAGTTCAAAGCCAGCTCGGGCAGGAAAGTCCATGAGACTCTAATCTCCAATAAACCACCAGAAAACTGGAAGTGGCACTGTGGCTCAAATGGTAGAACATTAGTTTTGGGCTGAAGAGTTCAGAGACAGACCAGGCCCAGAGTTCAAGCCCCACAACCAAAAACACAAAAACAAAGACTTAGGAGATCCAGAAAATCATGATTCAAAGCCAGACCAGGAAGAAATCTCTCTTCAAGACTCATCTCCAAAATAACCATCAAAAAGCAGGACCAGAGTGAGCAAACTGAACAAATGCTAGTCCCTGAGTTTAAACCCCAGTACTACACAGAAAGGAAAAAAGAAAAATGTATGTTTTGAAATTATGTGGTCAACAAGTCTTTTTTTTTTCTTCTGGTCATTGTGGGACTTGAACTCAGGGCCTGGGTCCTGAGCTCTTTTACTCAAGGCTAACCTTTTATCACTTTGAGCCACAGCTTCACATCCTGTTTTTTGATGGTTAATTAGAGATAAGAATCTCCCAGACTTTTCTACCTGGACTGGCTTCAAACTGTGATCCTCAGATCTCAGACTCCTGAGTGGCTATGATTATGGGCGTGAGCTACCAGCACCCAGCTGGGCAACAAATCTTTATTAAGCTTTGACTCTGTACTAGTCCACAAAGGTAGATAATTAAATTACAGCCTCTTCCTTAAGGGGGTTGACATCTTGTGCAAGAAACAAGTGAACCAGTAGTTGAGATGTAGAATAAGAGATGTCACTTTACTCACTAAAATGTCTGGTGAAAGATTAGTCAGTAGAGGATTGATACTGCTTGGTAAGAGCCCCTTGAGGTGCTAATCCCTGTGAAGTAGGCTCAGTACTATTTCTGCCCCTTCTTTTCAGGCCAACCTGCCACTGCTACAGCGAGAACTGTTGCACTGTGCCCGGGCTGCCAAGCAGACCCCATCCCAGTACCTAGCGCAACATGAACACCTTCTGCTCAACACCAGCATTGCGTCTCCAGCTGACTCTTCCGAGCTACTCATGGAAGTACATGGAAATGGGAAAAGGCCCAGTCCAGAGAGGTGAGCAGAAAGGAGATTTGTTGACCTTGGCTTTCTGGATCCATTGTGACTCAGCCCTTTGCATGTGGAAGAGAGAATTTGATTGCTGGGTTGTAGCTATATAATATCTCAGACCTTCCAAGGTTGTTTTCTGCTTTGTTCCAACAGTGCTTAACTCCTGATGAGAAACTCTGCTCTGGATAGGTCCACTACTGTGAAAGCAGCACAGCACTCAGCTTCTTCTATATTCCCACTGAGCAGTCAATATACTGTAGAGTTTTCCTCCTATACATCAAGCACAGTCCATTCTGGTTGGACACTAGTTGATTGTCCTTCCGTTGTGACACTAACTACCTAGAGATAAAACAGCAGGCAAGTTCCAGGGCTCTGTCTTCAGGACACTCTCCTTCCTTCAGATACCAGTTTCAAATCCTGGGTTGTGATTGTGAATACTGTCTGTTCAAATAAGCACACCATTTTTGTGCTTTCCTGTTTCTAGCTAGTGTAAATCAGGCTTTCTGCAACCTTTCTCAGTTTTGATTAATTTGTTCTGTGGCTCACAGGTCTCAGGAAGCACTAGCATGTACTGGATTATTATAAAGGATATTACACAGAGTACTGATAGACATGGGCTGAGGAGATGCAAAGTGCAAGGCATGGAAGAGGAAGGACATGGAGCTGCCATGCCTCTCCTTGTGAACTGCCATTCATTAGGAACCTCCACAGGTTCAGCTCTCCAGAAGTTTTTGTGCCTGTTCTTTAAGTTTGTATGTAAGAGATAATGATTAGATGGCTGTGAACATCAGTAGAAATTTTGTTATAGGTGAAGCTGATTGACGGAAAACTCTAGTCACAGAGGATTAATTGCATGATTTTTTCCCCCAATAATTATCCTCCACATTTAGAAGTTTAATTTTAAAATTTTCCTAAACATTCCTAAACATGGCCTATTCCTATAATCCTAGCTACTCAAGAGTCTGAGATCTGAAGATCAAAATTCAAAGCCAGCTTGGGCATACAAATCCAAGAGACTCATCTCCAGTTAACCAACAAAAAACCAGAAGTAGAAATGCGGCTTAACTAGTAGAGCAGCACCAGCCTTAAACAAAAAGAGCTAAGCAAAAGCAAAAGGCCCTGAGTTCAAGCCCCAGTTATCAGCACAAAAAACAAACAAAACACTAAACATCGTTGAGCCCACAATCCTCCATATCTCTATTATAGGAAAATGCTGTCTTTTAGACTAATGAGGATCAGATGGGTTTGCCTAGTATATGGATTTGACCTCTCTTTAGCAATTTGCAGTTTGTAACTAGTCCCTAGAGATAATTTAGTTCATGCCTTATGCCAAACTTTTCCTAAGCCTCTGCCACATATTTCCCTTTTTTGGTGCCAGTACTAGGGCTTCAACTCACGGTTTCTCATTCTTAATTTCATTTATTAATTTTGTTTATATGGTACTAAGGAATCGAACCCAGGGCCTCATGCATGCTAGTCAAGCACTCTACCACTAAGCCATATTCCTAGCCCATATCCATGAAACTCTTATCTCCAATTAACCACCAGAAAACTGGAAGTAGTGCTGTGGCTCAAAGTGGTGGAGTGCTAGCCTTGAGCAAAAGAGCTCAGGGACAGTGCCCAGGCCGTGGTACATAAAGTGCATAGAGGGAGGCTAGGAAGGTGGCTCAGTGGTAGAGTGCTTGCCTTGCATGCATGAGGCCCTCAGTTTGATTCCTCAGCACCACGTAAGCAGAAAAAGCCAGAAGTGGGGCTGAGGCTCAGGTGGTAGAGCACTGGTCTACAGCTGAAGAGCTGGGGGACAGCGCTCAGGCCCAGAGTTCAGGCCCCACAACTAACAAAACAAACAAATAAATAAAATACATAGAGGCCAGGTGCTGGTGGCTTACACCTGAAACCCTAGCTACTCTAGAGGCTGAGATCTGAGGATTTCAGTTCAAAAACAAAAAAACAACCTGGGCAGGAAAATCCATGAGACTTTAATTTCCAATTAAGCACCAAAAAATCAAGAAATGGGGCTGCACCTCATTGATAGAGCACTACCCTTGAACAAAAAGCTCAAGAACAGCACCCAGGGATTGAGTTCAAGCTCCAGGACAGGTGTAGGGGTACACACACAATTGGTGCTTGGAAATATAGGTACTTGCTCACATGTTCAGATGTGCACCTCTGGTTTTTCTGCAGAAGAGAAGAGAGTAATTTTGAAAGAGATACAATTCCTCCTGAGCCTCCTGCCAAGAGAGTATGTACCATCAGTCCTGCTCCTCGACACAGTCCTGCCCTCACTGTGCCCCTCATGAATCCTGGGGGCCAGTTTCACCCGACTCCTCCACCTCTTCAGCACTATACCTTAGAAGATATCGCAACTTCTCACCTGTATCGGGAGCCAAACAAGATGCTAGAACATCGAGATGTTCGTGAGAGGCACCACAATCTCAGTAAGTGACTTATGCGGCATGGGAATGCTTTAAGTACAGGCAGAATCTAGGAATTTCTTTTCTTCTCATTGATAAAGCCAAAGAATAGCATTGCTTTTTTTTAAACTACTGACAAAATAAAACTATTGTACAGCCAGGTGTGATAGTGCACTCCTGTAAATTAAGTGCTCCTTAGGAATAAGAATCATAAATGCTAGGCCATCCTGGGCTACATAACAAGTTGCTTTCCAAAACAAACAATACATAAAAGGGATTATTATAACTAATTTATCCTATGTGGTATTTAGCTCCCTTTTTGTTTTGTTGTTATCCTCATTACGATATTGCTAGAAACAGAATATTATCCAGATGGAAATCTGAAAAGTAAGTCAACTTTTAAAAAAATAGGAAAGTGAATACAGTGGTAAATGTCAACCAGATGTGGTGTGCACCAATCCAAATACTTGAGAAACTAAGGCAGGAGGATCATAAGCCTTGACTACATAAGCAAGACCTGTATCAGATCTTCCAAAACAAAAACCAAAATGAACAAATTCTATGAAATACACTGGAATAAAGAATAAAGTTGTCTGGTGTTGTGGTGCATATCTGTTAAAAAAGTAAAAATATGTTATCTTTTGAGATAGAAGTACCAGTCCCACCAAAAAAAAGTAAAATAATAATCAACTCTTGATTCAAAGTAGCCTGATTCTGAGATACTACATTCCTAGAAATTGTGTAAATACATTAAATATTAGTGATACTCAGCTGTTTCCAATCCACACTCTAATTTTGGTTGTTAAACAGTTCATATTGTAGCAGAGAGAGAGATTGGCTTACAGGCATGAGCCACTAGAACTTGGCTGTCCCTGAGAATTTTTTGCTCAAGGCTTTAGTTTTCTACAACTTGAGCTATATACAGCTCCACTTCTGGCTTTTTGGTTGTTAGTTGGAGATAAGAGAATTACAGATTTTCTTACCCAGATTGCTTTGAACAGCAATCCTCAGATTTTTGCATCCTGAGTAACTATGATTACAGGTGTGAGCCACTGGTGCCTGACTAACCTATTCATTTTCTTTCTTTTTTTTTTTCTTTCACTGATACCAGGACTTGTACTCAGGGTCTTGTACTTCTAACAACTAACACTCTAACACTTAAGCCATTTCTCCAGTCTTTTCTTTTTTTAATGCTGGTCCTGGGTCTTGAACTCAGGGCCTGGATACTGTCTCTGAACTTTTTTGCTTTAGTCTAATGCTACAGCTCTACTTCCTGCTTTTTGGTAGTTAATTGGAGATAAGAGTCTCATGGAATTTTTTGCTAGGGTTATCTTTGAGCTTCATTCCTCCTGGTCTCATCCTTCTGAGTCAAGTTCCATCATCCTGAGTAGCTAGGATTGTAGATATAAGCCACTGACACCTGGCTCTGTTTGTTTTTATGGAACAATTGATTTCTTGGAGTAGATGCTGGGGATCAAATCAAGGATCTTTTTTTTTTCCCTCCCTCTCCCCCCAAACCAAGGATCTTATACAATAATATAAACTAGTCAAGCATTCTACTACTGAGCTATACTCATAATCCCTGACTTTGTTTCATCTGAATACTGACCCTTTGTTATTATATCATTTTGTGGGTCCCACACCCTATTTTGAATCATTCTCTTAATAACATGTTCTTAGTTGGAAGTAACGTGTATTTATTTAGCCTGATAGAATCTGGTTCTCATTATTCTTCCTAGTGTCCTCAAATGTAATCTCTAATTTTTAATAGGTATAAATGGAAGCTATCAAGATGAGTTGGTAGACCACCGTTTGACAGAAAGGGAATGGGCTGATGAATGGAAACATCTTGACCATGTAAGGATTATAGCTTACAACATGTTTAATTTCCCTAACGTTCTAATTGTTAATGTTACCAGTCATTTAAATGTGCTTGAAGTTAATGTAGCAAGAGCCATTTTTAACAAAAGCCCGTTTATGCACTATTCATTCAGCTGGAGAGCAACAGAATCACTCTCAAGTCTTGATGGTGAGGTGATCTCTTCAAGTCATCAGACAAATTGTCATATAAGAAATAATAAAGAAAAGGCTTGTGGCCGGGCACCAGTGGCTCATGCTTGTAATCCTAGCTACTCAGGAGGCTGAGATCTGAGGATCACAGTTCAAAGCCAGCCTGGGCAAGAAAGACTGTGAGACTCCTATCTCCAATAAACCACTAGAAAACCGGAAGTGGCGCTGTAGCTCAAGTGGTAGAGCGCTAGCCTTGAGCTGAGGGACTGCACCCACGCCCAGAGTTCAAGCCCCACGACAGACAAAAAAGAAAAAGGCTTGTGAGTTCAGCTTTGCTGATTCTTGCCTTTGTTTTTTTGTTTTTTTGTCAGTCGTGAGGCTTGAACTCTGTGCCTGGGCATTGTCCCTCAGCTCTTCAGCTCAAGGCGAGCACTCTACCTCTTGAGCTACAATGCCACTTCCAGTTTTCTAGTGGTTTTTTATTAGAGATAAGAGTCCCACAGACTTTCCTGCCTAGGCTGGCTTTGAACCATGATCCTCAGATCTCAGCCTCCTGAGTAGCCAGGATTACAGGCATGAGCCACCAGCACCTGGCTTGATTCTTGCCTTTGAGATCAGAATAAAAAGTCCTTTTTGCTGTTGTTATTGTTTGTGTGGGTCTTCATCTCACGCCAGGTCCCTATCCTTGAGCTTTTCACTTTTTCAAGTGTGGTAGGGGGGCTGGGAAGGTAGCTCAGTGGTAGAGCGCTTACCTTGCATGCAAGTGTGGTAGGCTGGTGCTCTACCACTTGAGCCACAGCTCTACTTGGAGTTTTTTTTTTAAAACAAAAAAACAACAACTGGTTAATTCGAGATAAGCGTCTCCCAAATTTTCCTGCCCAGCTGGCTTCAAACTGTGATCCTCACCTCAACCTCCTGAGCAACTAGGATTACAGATGTGAGCCATCAGTACCACCTAGCTATTTTTCCTTTTTTCTTTTTTTTTTGGGGGGGGGATCCGGTCCTGGGGGCTGAACTCTGGGCCTGGGCGCTGTCCCTCAGCTCTTCAGCTCAATGCTAGTACTCTACCACTTGAGCCAAGCGCCACTTCCAGCTTTTTTCCTTTTGCTTATGTGGTGCCAAGGAATCAAACCCAGGGCCTCATGCATGCAAGGCAAGCACTCTACCACTGAACCACCTTCCCAGCCCCTAGCTATTTTTTCTTCATAATATTTGTCCCTGGTCCTTATTACTCAGGCCCATTGCATTACTATAAAAATCTGTTTTTTGTAAGTGGAGCTGTGGCTCTGGGTGGACTTGAGCACAAAAACTTAGAGACAGTACCCAGGCACTGAGTTCAAGCTCCAGGACCCTCACACCAGATTTATCAAATAACTTGGTATATTTAGACAGATATTTAGTATTGTTAATCATAGTCTTTTTGTTTGTTTGTTTGTTTTTGTTAGTCATGGGCCTGAACTCTGGTCCTGGGCGCTGTCCCTCAGCTCTTCAGCTCAAGGCTGAACTTTACACTCTACCACTTGAGCCACAGCACCACTTCTGGCTTTTTCTGCTTCTGTGGTGCTGAGGAATTGAACCCAGGGCCTCATGCATGCAAGGCAAGCACTCTACCACTGATCCACCTTCCCATCCCTAATCAGTCTTTAGTAGACCATGTTAATAATAATAATAAAAGGCCATGTTATAATAAGATTGTATGCCTGCATTCACCTTGAAGAATCCTAAGAAGCACTCTGAAATCTGAAAAGCAAAGTCATATCATAATAACTTTTCAGTCAGTGATGTTAGATTTAAGAAGATGAGGGGCTGGGAAGGTGGCTCAGTGGTAGAGCACTTGCCTTGCATGCATGAGGCCCTGGGTTCGATTCCTCAGCACCACATAAGCAAAAAGAAAAAAGCCAGAAGTGGCACTGTGGCTCAAGTGGTAGAGCGCTAGCCTTGAGCTGAAGAGCTGAGGGACAGCGCCCAGGCCCAGAGTTCAGGCCCCACGACCGGACCCCCCCAAAAAAAAGAAAAGATTTAAGAAGGTGATCTCTAGCTGGGTGCCAGTTGCTCACACCTATAGTCCTAACTATTCAGGAGGCTGAAATCTGAGGGTTGTGGTTCAAAGCCAGCCTGGGCAGGAACATCCATGAGACTCTTTATCTTCAATTAACCACCAGAAAACCAGAAATGGCACAGCACCATTTCCAGTTTCTTCTAAGTAGTTTAGTGGAGATGAGAGTCTCATAGACTTTCCTGCCTGGGTTATCTCTGAATGGTGATCCTCATCCTTGTGAGTAGCTAAGATTACAGGCATGAGCCACCAGCAACCAGCTAGAAATTAATAGCTTCCCTCTTTAACATGGCTTCTCAGTGACAGAGGGAAACACAAATAGGATCACAGTCCAGACGAGCACAGCAGTAAAGCAAGACCTTTACCTTGAAAATAATGCAAAAAGACACTGGCAGAACATCCCCAAGTAGAAGAATGCCTGCTTAGCAAGCAAGAGGCTGAGTTCAAATCATAGTTTGAAAACTAAAAGAAAATATTCAAAGAAAAAATGAATTTTTATTCCTTAACAGCATAACAATTACTTTCATAGTATTTATATTAGGTATTTATATTAGGTAATCAGAGCAATCTGCAATGTAAATATATGGGAGGGAAATGCATTTTATTTGCAAATGCTACATTATTCACTTAGCAACTTGAATATCCATGACATTTAGTATCTGCTTTGGGTCCTGGAAGCAAATCTCTGTGGATATGAAGGGATTTCTGTATATATTTAGCTAGAAGTTATAAGAAAGGCTTTCAGATGTATACTGCTATAATTTCTTATAAATTTTATATTATTTAACCTAGCTTTGATTTTTCAGTATTCATTGTTAAATTTCTTTGTCCTATCTCTAACTTCCTCCACGGTTCAGGCTCTGAATTGCATTATGGAAATGGTAGAGAAAACGAGGCGTTCCATGGCAGTTCTGAGGCGCTGTCAGGAGTCTGATCGGGAAGAACTCAACTACTGGAAGAGACGATTTAATGAAAATACAGAGATGAGAAAAACGGGAACGGAGCTGGGCTCCAGGCAACACAGCCCTGGGAGTGCAGATTCTCTCAGCAATGGTAAGGGCCGAGGCCTAATATGGTGGGAAGCACAGAAGGAATAGCAGCCTGTAGATTCCACCTAATAAGGCAAATGGAGGGTGTGGTTTTGTTTGTTTTTTGGTAGTACGCTGTGTAGACCTCTGGGCCTCACACTTGCTAGGTCAGCACTGTTCTTTCCATTTTGTTTTGTTTTGTTTTTAAAACAGAAAGTTGCTTTATAGCTCAGGATGGTCATGAACTTAAAATCCTCTGCCTCAGCCTCCCAAATGCTGGGATAATAAGCAACCCAATAACCCAACCAGCAAGTCTGATTTACCTTTTTTTTTTTTTTTCTGCCAATCCTGGGGCCTGAACTCAGGGCCTGGGCACTGTCCCTGAGGTTTTTTGTTGTTGTTTTTTTTTTTTTGCTCAAGACTAGCACTCTGCCACTTGAGCCACAGCGCCACCTCCAGATTTTTCTATGTATGTAGTACTGAGGAATTGAACCCAGGACTTCATGCATACTACTAGGCAAGCACTCTACCACTAAGGCACATTCCCAGTCCAAGTCAGATTTACTTTTTTTTTTTTTTTGGTTGGTCGTGGGGCTTGAACTCTGGGCTTGGGCGCTATCCCTCAGCTCTTCAGCTCAAGGCAAGCGCTCTACCGCTTGAGCCACAGCGCCACTTCCAGTTTTCTAGTGGTTTATTGGAGGTAAGAGTCTCACAGACTTTCCTGCCCAGGCTGGCTTTGAACTTCGATCCTCAGATCTCAGCCTCCTGAGTAGCTAGGATTACAGGTGTGAGCCACCAGCGCCCGGCTGATTTACTTTTAAAGCAAAGTAGTGCTGAGTTGTGGGGTCAGGGAACCTTAGGTGGTTATGCAAAGTAAAGGAAAATTAAATATAGGCTTGGAAGACATGGTCAAGAAATGTATATTTTTCCTTGTCTCTACAAGGAATATTCTTAAATATTCATATTGTTTATGTGAATGTTTGTGGTTTAACAAATATTTTCTGTATATATGGGGAAAATGACACACGTATACCATGCACAAGCTAAGTGACAAATAACGACGTCCGGTAGGCTGAAGGTACCACCCTGCCAGGGAAAAAAAAAAAAAAACACTGTTGATTTGTCCTCCTCTGCTCTTATACCACACTCAACATGGACTCCTTTAAACTGCAGATGTATGGGGATTTCTCCCCACCAGCAAGCAATCCTGCAGTTCTCTTTTGGCACTATCTACCTGCCTGTAAGACCACATTGCACATTACATTTTTTTGTTGTTGTTGTTGGTCATAGGACTTGAACTCGGGGCCTCCCTGAGCTGCTTTTTGTTCAAGGTTAGCACTCTATCACTTTGAGCCACAGCACCACTTCTGGTTTTTGAGTGGTTAATTGGAGGTAAAAGTCTCATGGGGACTGCCCTGGCTGGCTTTGAATCTCAATCCTCAGATCTCAGCCTCCTGAGTAGCTAGGATTACAAAAGGCAACTATACTACAAAAGGTCTAGTTAAACCAACCTGGATTTTCTCATCTTGCTTCTTCCCAGCCTAAAGTAGCATAAATTACAGTAGTGTTTTTTTTCAAGGATGCATGCAGGAAGCCAGAGTTACCCCTAAAAATGTTCTGTCAGTTTAACCCAGTAACTGAAAATGTGCCTCATCCAAAGGCACAGCTGAAATGATGGGCCATCTGTGATCACACTTTCTCCACCCACCCACTTGAAGTTCCCAAATGTTCATCAGGGAGGATGAATTTCTTCTTGTTACAGACCTAACATGTTCCATAGAGGACGGCTGTTAGTCGGGGGGGGTGGGGAGAACCTGCAAGAAAATTTTGAGGCCAAGCCAGAAATGATGCCATGTGTCCAATACTAAGTAGCTAAGGGATCCCACTTTTCCATCCCACCCACAACCTTGGATCTCAGGCTAACCATAGCTTAGCACCATTTTATGTGGGATGTCTAGTGTAACAAAAGATTTTTTTTTAATTACTTGGTGTGATTCCTTTCATAAAATCTTCAAAAACAGACAAAGCTAATCTCCAGGTCTCTGGGGGGTTGTCTTTGTACCAGTACTGGGGCTTGAACTCAAGGCCTAGGTATTATCCCTGAGCTTTGTCACTCAAGGCCCTTTTCACTCAAGGCTCGTGCTCTACCCCTTGAACCAATGTTCCACTTCCAGCTTTTTGCTGCTTAATTGGAAATAAGAGTCTTACAGACATTCTTGTCCAGGCTGGCTTTGAACTGTGATTCTTAGATCTCAGTCTCCTAAGTAACTAGGGTTACAGGCATGAACCATTAGCACCCTACCCAAATCTTTTTTTGGGGGGGGGTATTCATTGTGGGGCTTGAACTCTCGGTCTGGGCACTGTCCCTCAGCTCTTCAGCTCAAGGTAAGCGCTCTACCACTTGAGCCACAGTGCCACTTCTGGTTTTCTGGTGGTTAATTGGAGATAAGAGTCTCAGACTTTGCTGCTAATCTCAGACTCCTGAGTAGTTAGGATTACAGGCATAAGCCACCGGTGCCTGGCTTTGCCCAAATCTTTTAAATATCTAGCAGGTTAGAAGACAGCTAGGATTACTGGTGCATGCCACTGGCCTTGGGCAATATGTGCCTAGAATAGAAAGAAGGAAATTAGTAACTTCAAGAAAACAAGCTTGGGGGCTGGGAAGGTGGCTCAGTGGTAGAGTGCTTGCCTTTCATGCATGAGGCCCTGGGTTTAATTCCTCAGCACCACATAAGCAGAAAAAGCTGGAAGTAGGGTTGTGGCTCAAGTGGTAGAGCACTAGCCATGAGCTGAAGAGCTGAGGGACAAAGCCCAGGCCCAGAGCTCAGGCCCTACAACCGACAAAACAGAAAAAATGAAAAACTTTTCAAGAAGATAGATGTAAAAAAAAATCATAAGAATTTTCTTTTACAGTATTCTGATTTTCATTTACTAATGATGTCACAGAATTCAAGTAACTATTGAGAGAATGAAAGGAAAGGAAGTGTACATGGAGAGAAGTTTACACCATGACAAGTCGACAGATAATGTCTACAATTGGAAAATCAAGATGTAGTAGAATCAGTTATATGGTAATACCCCAGGAAAAAATGCCAGACTATCCAAGAAAGGACTAGAGGTGTACAATACATAACCTAGCAAGCGCAGGGCCCTGGTTCAAACTCCATCCTACAAACCCAAAAAGAAGATTCATTGAAAGTAGATTCCCTCTGAAGACAACAGTTGGTACTTTTTTTTTTCTCTTTTAATCAGCATTGTAGAATTCTTGGAGTTCTTATACTACTTGGATTTTTTATTTGGAGGGATGGGGAGGGGGTACCTCATGGGGTTTGAACTCAAGCCTGGGCTCTGTCCCTAAGCTTTTTTTACTCAAGGCTCTGCCAATTTTGGTTTTCTGGTGGTTAATTGGAGATAAGATTCTCATGGCCTTTCCTGCTCAGACTGGCTTTGAACCTCAGTCCTCAGATCTCAGCCTCCTGAGTAGCTGAGATTACAGGCACTTGGTTTATTGGAATTCTTATATTTGTTGTCCCTTAAAGTAGAAGCTGATTTTTTCCCCTAGTACCTAGGATTGGAGTCATTGGCTTGCTCAGTTGGCATTCTACTACTTGAGACATGCCATTCTAGCACTGCTTTTTTTTTAAGTTATTTTGGAGATGGTATCCTAGAAGATTTTCCTATTAGCTGCCTTTAAACCACGATCCTCTAGATCTCAGCATCCTTGAACAGCTCAGATGACAGGTGTGAATCACCAGTGCCCAGATAATTTGTGTGTGTGTGCGCATGCGCACGTGCACGCACAGGCACATGTGCACTTGCATGCACATGCTAACACTGGGGTTTGACCTTGGTGCCTGTGTACTGTCCCTGAACTTTCATGCTCAAGACTAGCACTCTGCCACTTGAGCCATAGCTCCTCTTCCATCATTTTAATTGTTGGAGATAAGAGTCTCATAGATTTTCCTGCCTGGGCTGACCTTGAACCTTGACCCTCATATTTTAGCCACCTGCATTGCTAGGATTACAGGTGTGAGACACGGACACCCAGCTCAGCTTAAAAAAACAAAAACAAAATTTTCCGGGCACCGGTGGCTCACACCTGTGAGCTACTTAGGAGGATAAAATCTGAGGATTGTGGTTCAAGCCAGCCCAGGCAGGAAAGTCTATGAGAGACTCTTATCCCAATTAACCACCAGAAAACTGTAAGTGGCGCTGTGGCTCAAGTGGTAGGGTGCTCACCTTGAGCTGAAGAGCTCAGGGACAGTGCCCAGGCCCAGAGTTCAAACCCCACCACCAACCAAAAAAAAAAAATATCACAGATTTTCCTGCCTGGGGCTGGCTTTGAGATCCTCACATCTCAGCCTCCTGAGTAGCTAGGATTACAGGCATGAGCCACCAGCACCTTGCTTTTCTGTTTTTTGTTTTGTTTTATTTTGTTTTTGTCAGTCATGGGGCTTGAACTCTGGACCTGGGCGCTGTCCCTCAGCTCTTCAGCTTAAGGCTAGCACTCTACCACTTGAGCCACAGTGCCATTTCCAGCTTTTCTGCTTATGTGGTGCTGAGGAATTGAACCCAGGGCTTCATGTATGTAAGGCAAGCACTCTACCACTGAGCCACCTTCTCAGCCCCTTTTCTGTTTTTTTTTTTGTGTGTGTGTGTAGTTTATTGAAAATAAGAGTCTCACAGGCTTTCCGGCTGAGGCTGGCTTCACACTGTGATGCTGCTCAGATCTTAGCCTCCTTAGTAGCTAGGATTATAAACATGAGCCACCAGCACCTGGCTCAAAGCATTTTTTTTTTAAATAGAAGTTAGGCCATCCGGGGCCAGTGGCTCACACCTATAATACTAGCTACTCAGGAGGCTGAGATCTGAGGATCGTGGTTCAAAACCAGCCCAGGCAAGAAGCCCGTGAGACTCTTATTTCCAATAAACTACCAGAAAACTGGAACTAGCGCTGTGACTGAAGTGGTAGAACACTTGCCTTGAGGTGAAAAGCGCAGGAACAGCGCCCAGGCCCAGAGTTCAAGCCTCAGAACCAGTCTCCCACCCTACGCGCCCCCCCCCCCAAAAAAAAAAGTTAGGCCAGAGGACGGCAAGTCCTCTAGGGACTGCACGTGGCCCTGGGTTTGAACTCAGCACTATAAAACAACAATACCCAATAAATACCATTTTATTTGTGTCCTAACAATAAGGTTCCTGATTAAAGACAATTTCTGACACTGTGCTTTTTATCACTCTTGTACAGATTCTCAGCGGGAATTTACCAGTAGACCAGGAACAGGATATGTACCTGTGGAGTTTTGGAAGAAAACAGGTATGTGTGTCTCTTCACCTAGGTTGCATGTACTCACTAGTTAGTGCAAGCTGGGAACACATACTGGGGGAAAGGTTGGTAACAGGCCCTTTAGTTATTTAATAATGTCTTCCTCATGGAGTTGTTGATTCCTGCTTCTTCCCTTCCAACTGATCCTGCATATCTCCTGACTATCTGTTGTGTCACCCTTTTACACCCTTCTCCTAGGTTACAGTGAGGCCTGAAGTACCCAGCTGTTTCCTTCCTTTTGATAGAAGTTGAATTAATCTCTCCTGCCTCACACAGTGTGTTCATGCTGCCACCACATTGGCTTCATTCAGCTCTTGGGGCAGCTTTTTAATCCCCAGTTCATTTACTCTCTATCCTAGTCAGGACTATTCTTGGGCTAGAGATGTAACTCAGTGGTGAGGCAACATTTGCTTAGCATGTGCTAAGCTCTGGGTTCAGTCCCCAGCACCACAGAAAAAGAAATGTTAGCAACAGTGAATCTAGTCAGATTCTTCTCTCTCTTTCTTTCTTTCTTTTTGTCAGTCCTGTGGCTTGAACTCAGGGCCTGGGCACTGTCCTTGAGTTCTCTCTTTTTTTTTTTTCTTTTTTTTTTTGGGTCCAGTCGTGGGGCCTGAACTCTGGGCCTGGGCACTGTCCCTCAGCTCTTCAGCTCAAGGCTAGGGCTCTACCACTTGAGCCACAGCCACTTCCGGCTTTTTTCTTTTTTGCTTATGTGGTGCTGAGGAATCGAACCCAGGGCCTTATGCATGCAAGGCAAGCACTCTACCACTGAGCCACCTTCCCAGTCCCAAAGAACGTTTCATTTTTCTGCTATGGCTTTCTCTTTTTTTTTTTTTTTCCTAGAGCTGTACCACTTGAGCCACAGTGCCACTTCTGGCTTTTTTCTTTTTGGTTTTGTGGTGCTGAGGAATCAAACCTAGGTCCTCAGGCACGCAAGGCAAGCGCTCTACCACTGAGCCACCTTGAGTTCTTTTGCTCAAAGCTAGCACTCTACCACTGAGCCACAGTACTTTTTCTGTTTATGTGGTACTGAGGAATTAAACCCAGTGTTTTATGCATGCTAAACAAGCACTCTACCACTAAGCCACATTCCCAGGCCAGATTCTTCATTTTCATGTGAAAGTTTTTGAACATTTCTTTTTAAGACCAAATAGTCCAGATTGAAATACAATTTGTAAATTATAAACCGTTTTTTAGGGCTGGAGGAATAGCTCAGTGGTAGAGTGCTTCCATGTGTGAAGTACTTCTAGTCCCCTGTACTTCCTCTCCTGTCTAATAAAAGATAGCTTTTTAGTATATTCTTGGGGAGAGGCAACTTGCAAAATGTCCAAAAATCAGTTATTAGTTACATTAGTTTATAGTTTTCCAAACAAAATTATTATTTTACCATGTGAAACAGTTTGAAAAACTTTATGCAACTGGAAAAGGGAAAATGTATATTATATTGATAAATGGAGTAGAATTGTGAGAAATGAAAGTCCTTGCTCAGTTTTAAAAGTGCTATCTGTTAACATACACGGCCTCCAATAAGGCAGATACCCAAACTGTAATTTTTATCAATTCATCCATAAACTATGAGGGTAAATTCTGTTGATTCTAGAAGTACTCACCATGAGATCTGAGAATCAAGGTTTGAAGCCAGCCCAGACAAAAAGTATAAGATGGGAAGGTGGCTCACTGGTAGAGTGCTTGCTTCACATGCATGAGGCTCTGGGTTTAATTCCTCAGCACCACATAAAAAACTGGAAGTGGTGCTATGGCTCAAGTGGTAGAGCCCTAGCCTTGAACTGAAGAGCTGAGGGACAGTGCCCAGGCCCAGAGTTCAGGCCCCATGACCGGACCAAAAAAAAAGATTCATTTCCAATTAACCAGCAAAAAGTCAGAAATTGACATGTAGCTCTCAAGTAGTAGAGAGACAGCCTTGAGTTCAAGCCTCAGTAACAACACACACACAAAAAAAAATAATAAGTATCACTCACCACATCTAACCTCTAGTGTACCTGTGGTGACCATAGTGGGTCTGTGTAGCTAGCCTGAGGAAAAGAAGTCAGTAGTCCTTAGCCTATGGGCAAGGCTTTCTTAAGACTATAGCAATAAGATAGGAATTTATAGGGGCTGGGAAGGTGGCTCAATGGTAGAGTGCTTGCCTTGCATGCATGAGGCCCTGGGTTTGATTCCTCAGCACCATATAAGCAGAAAAAGCCAGAAGTGGGGCTGTGGCTCAAATGGTAGAGTGATCGCCTTAAGCTGAAGAGCTGAGGGGCAGCATCCAGGCCAGAGTTCAGGCACCATGACCGACCAAAAACAAACAAACAAAAAAAAAGAATTTCTAGCACAGCAGTCTTGAACAGAGTTCCTTAATTTTTGTTGTGTAGTCCTATGGACTCACATGAATTCACGTTTTTATTTGACTAATGTCAAAATGCAAAGAGCATATCATGTGGCATGCCCATGAGGGCTGGTCAGGTGACTAGATAGTAACTGCCAAATCTAGATATCTAGCTATCTAGCTCATCTTTGTTTTTTTTCCTTGTTGTTGTTGTTATTGTTTATTTGTCATAGGGCTTGAACTCAGGGCTTGGGCACTGTCCCTGTGCTTTTTTTGCTCAAGACTAGTACTCTACCACTTTCAGCCATAGCACCATTTCTGGTTTTCTGGTGGCTAGTTGGAGGTAAGAGTCTCACAGACTTTCCCTCCTGGTCTGGCTTTGAACCATGATCCTCAGATCTCAGCTCCTGAGTAGCTAGGATTATAAGTGTGAACCACCAGCGCCCTACTCTAACTCATCTTTTTTTTTTTTCTTTTTTTGCAAATTCTTCATTGTGATTAAATGATTACAAAATTTCACCAATTTCACAGTATTGTAGGATAGTGATGCTTAGTTAAAGTCACAAACACAGGGCTGGGAAGGTGGCTCAGTGGTAGAGCGCTTGCCTTGCATGCATGAGCCCCTGGGTTCGATTCCTCAGCACCACATAAGCAGGAAAAAATAGCCGGAAGTGGCGCTGTGGCTCAAGTGGTAGAGCGCTAGCCTTGAGCTGAAGAGCTGAGGGACAGTGCCCAGGCCCAGAGTTCAGGCCCCACAACTGGACCCAAAAAAAAGAAAAGTCACAAACACATTCTCACTTTCATGGGGCAAATTGTCTATCATGATCTATGAAGTTTATGAGTTCTGTGAGATTTTTTTTTTTTTAATTTTTGGTTGGTCTGGTGCTTGAACTCTTGGCTTGGGCACTGTTCCTGCGCTCTTCAGCTCAAGGCGAGCACTCCACAGCACCACTTCTGTTTTCTAGTGGTTTATTGGAGATAAGAGTCTCACAGGGGCTGGGAAGGTGGCTCAGTAATAGAGCACTTGCCTGGCATGCTTGAGGCCCTGGGTTCGATTCCTTAGCACCAAATAAGCAAAAAGAAAAGCCAGAAGTGGAGCTGTGGTTCAAGTGGTAGAGAACTAGCCTTGGGCTGAAGAGCTGAGGGACAGCGCCCAGGCTCAGAGTTCAGGCCCACGACTGGAGTCTCACAGACTTTCCTGCCCAGGCTGGCTTTGAACCACGATCCTCAGATCTCATCCTCCTGAGTAGCGAGGATTTACAGGCGTGAGCCACCAGTGCCCAGCAAGTTCTATGGGCTTTGACAATACAGTTCTTTCTTCTACATCGGGTGATATGTACATTCCTTTCCTTTTGCATAGCGTCAGCTGCTCTCTCTTTCCCACTCATTCGTTCCCTCCCATCGCTGCATTGAGTTGCTTAGTTCATTTTGATCAATGTCCAGTGCAAGCTCATCTTTCTTTGATGTGAGAAGTCTCCAGAATCAAAATCTCCTCTAGTCACTTAGTTGTCCCTGTATACTCCAGGGACACCTCACCCGATCACTTGTTACTACGCCTGCTCTTGGTATATTACTCATCTCATTGCATAGCATTGCCATTCTCTTTCCTTCACCTCCACTTTATTATTTATTTATTTATTGTCCGGTTGTGGGGCCTGAACTCTGGGCCTGGGCGCTGTCCCTCCGCTCTTCAGCTTAAGGCTAGCGCTCCACTTGAGCCATAGTGCCACTTCCAGCTTTTTTTTTTTCTGCTTATGTGGTGCTGAGGAATTGAACCCAGGGCCTCATGCATGCAAGGCAAGCACTCTACCACTGAGCTACCTTCCCAGCCCCACCTCCATTTTAGATAGATACTTTGGTACTGCCAGTATCATGTTCCCTGATATGCAATCTGTTTCTTCTGCTTTGTCCTTCTTAGAAATGCTGGGAAGGGGAGGGGAAAGATTTCCCGGCCAGTTGATTTTACTGTCACTTTCTTCCAGAAGAAGCTGTGAATAAGGTGAAAATTCAGGCCATGTCAGAAGTACAGAAGGCAGTTGCTGAGGCTGAGCAAAAAGCCTTTGAAGTGATTGCAACAGAGAGAGCTCGAATGGAACAAACCATAGCAGATGTCAAACGACAGGCCGCAGAAGATGCCTTCCTTGTGATCAATGAGCAAGAAGAGTCAACTGAGGTCAGAGTTCTACTAGGCTATGGTCTGGGCAAGGCAGTAAGACAGAGAGCCCACTCTTGAACTAGACAGTTTTAATTTTTAGCCAGTTACAATAGAGTTTTTCACTTGTATGCATGACATTTAGTTCTGTATATGTACTTTCTTTTTGGTTTTCACAGTAACCCAATAAGGTAGAGATTATTGCTTCTCTAATTTACAGTAGAGAAAACTAGCTCAGGCCCCATGACTGGACCCAAAAGAAAAAAAAAAAAAAGCAGGGTACTGGGCTGGAGATATGGCTCCCATAGGGTGTCAGATGAAGAAGCAAGCTGATTGATAGCACAAGGCCCTGAGTTCAAATTTGAGTACTGCAGGGGAAAAAAAAAGCCAGGGCTGGTAGCTTGTACCTACAATTCTAGCCACTCAGGAGGCTGAGATCTAGATAATAAATCTTTGTTAAAGTCCATGAAATGGGCTGGGAAGGTGGTTGAGTGGTAGAGTGCTTGCCTTGCATGCATGAGGCCCTGGGTTCGATTCCTCAGCACCACATAAGCAGAAAAGGCCAGAAGTAGCACTGTGGCTCAAGTGATAGAGTGCTAACCTTAAGCTGAAGAGCTGAGGGACAGTGCCCAAGCCCAGAGTTCAGGCCCCACGACTGACCCAAAAAAAAAAAAAAAAAAAGTTCATGAAACTTTATTTCTAAATAACCAGTAAAAAGCCAGGCTGGAGGGATAATTTAAGTGATAGAATGCCAGCCAGGCAAGCTTGAGGCCCCTAATTTCAAGTCTCAGTTCCAGCAAAAGGAAGATAAAACCACAGTCCTATGACATCTAGTCTCTTTACAAATAGGACAGCTCTTATGAGCTGAAACACATTAGGCAGACCTGCTCAGTGCCTATGTTGGGCAGAGCACATGATGATGGAGACAAAAGGAAGAAACTGAAAAGGAAAACACATTTGATAATCAGGCATGGGTGGCTCATACCTGTAATCCTAGCTTTTCTGAGGATAGGGTTCAAAGCCAATCCAGGCAGATAGTTTCCAGAGACTCTTATCTTCAATTAACCACTAAAAGCCTGGAAGTGGAAGTGTAGAGTGACAACTTTGAAAAAAAGCCAAGATATATAAGAGTATAAGGCCCTGATTTCTAGCTCTAATAACACACAAAAAAGCATATGACAATAACATTTTAATAATCCTGACAGTACTTTTGAATATCATATCTAATTTTCATTGTAGTTATTTTTCAGACTTAAAAATTTTGAGAAACGGGCTGGGAAGGTGGCTCAGTGGTAGAGTGCTTGCCTTGCATGCATGAGGCCCTGAGTTCGATTCCTCAGCACCACATAAGCAAAAAGAAAAAAGCTGGAAGTGGTGCTGTGGCTCAAGTGGTAGAGTACTAGCCTTGAGCTGAAGAGCTGAGGGACAGCGCCCAGGCCCAGAGTTCAGGCCCCACAACTGGACTCAAAAAAAAAAATTTTGTTTTTGAGAAACAAGCCTGCCTCTGTAAGTATGGTAATTCTCTTCTGCTGAGGCACTAATAGCTAATTTTAAGTCATTGTCTTAAAATACATTTTCATTTTTTTGTTTTTAGAGTGCTAAAGTTCAAACTCTGAGCTCTACCACTGAGTTATACTCCCAGATCTGGGTTTTAGTTATTTTAAAATTAAACAACTTTGTTGGGGTTTCTTTGTGTGTTTGTTGTTGGTGTGTGTGTGTGTGTCTGTGTGTGTGTCTGTGTGTGTGTCTGTGTGTGTGTCTGTGTCATGGGGCTTGAACTCTCTGGGCCTGGGTACTGTCCTCAGTTCTTCAGCTCAAGGCAAGACTCTACCACTTGAGCCATGGCACCACTTACGGTTTTCTGGTATTTTATTGGAGATAAGAGTTTCATGGACTTTCCTGCCCAGGCTGGCTTTAAACTGTAATCCTCAGATCTCAGCCTCTTGAGTAGTAGGATTACAGGCATGAGCCACTGGCGCCTAGCTAAACAGTACAAGTTTTATTTTTTCCTTGTTAAATGACCCATTTAAATACAGTGATGCCAAGCATAGCCAGGTAAAGACAAATTTGCTTTATAAAAGACCCTGCGTGTAAAAATACAACTTCTTTAAGCCTTCCTTTCTTACCCCTCCTACTTTTTCTCTACAATTATTCTGTTTTGTTTGAAACAGGGTGGCCTCAAACTCAGTTCTCATGCTCATCCTCCTGAATACCAGGATTATAGGTGTAAACCACCATATCCAGTTTGTAGAGTTGGTTGTTTTTTTTTCAGTGCTGAGGATCAAACTCAGGCTTGTATATGTTAGACAAGCATCCAACCACTGAGATATATCCTCAGTTTTTGCTTTTGTTTTTGAACTCGTTAGGAAGATGCTCTTATTATTTGCATTTGGCCTCTTTTTACATGGGTTGTTTTTTAGGTAGCGCCTCACTTTTTGCATTAATGAGGAACACACACACACACACACACACACGTCGCCATAGTGTTTTGAGGATAACAAGCACATGCCATCAAGCCTAGACTTTGTCTGAGATGGAGTCCTATGAGCTGCTTTTTCACCAGCCTAGCTTCAGACTGTAACCTCCTGACCTCTGCCTCCCAAGTAGCTAAGATTTTAACATTGAGCCACCATGCAGAGTTCTGTGTTTAAAGAAGGAATGATGATTTTTGGTTGAGGATGAGTTCTAGACTGCATAGGTTCAAATCCTAAGTCTGTATTTTTTTCTGCCACGTGTCATTTGGATGTTTATAACATCATTCAAGGAACCACAGAAAATCAACACAGCAGCCAGCCACAGGCATCAACAGTAAGCCTGTATGTGCATCCTATCATCTACCATAAGCATGTATGTCTATCCTATCATCTACCAAATGATTACAAATGGGAACTTCCTACCTCCCCATTTAGATTTTTTTAAGAAGCCTTTTCTTATTTATTTTGTGCCAATACTAGTTTGAGCCTGGGCATTGTCCCTTAGCATTTTCACTCAAGGCTGGTGCTCCAGCTCTTAAGTCACCTCCACTTCCAAGAGGTTATTTTTTTTTTTTTTTGTCTGTTGTGAGGCTTGAACTCTGGACCTGAATGCTGTCCCTCAGCTCTTCAGCTCAAGGCTAGCGCTCTACCACTTGAGCCACTGCACCACCTCCGGTTTTCTGATGTTTTATTGGAGATAAGAGTCTCATTGACTTTCCTGCCTGGGCTGGCTTTGAACCACGATCCTCAGATGTTAGCCTCCTGGGTAGCTAGGATTATAGGCATGAGCCACCAGCGCCTGGTGAGGTTATCATTTTTAAACCATGTATAAAGTGGCCTAAGATGAAGCATACACCAACATCTACCCCCAGAAACCTTTCCAAAACAGGGATGTATGTAGAGCCTAAGCTTTTGTTTGCATTGACTATGTAAACTGGTTTCCTTCCATTTTCTGCATAAAACAGATTTCACTGACATTTCACTGGTGTCTGTACAGTTTCTCCTTGTCCTATAAGAAGCCCTTTGGTAGGGGGCTTGAATTGTAATCCTGTTCTAGTCCCACTTAGCATTCATACTGAAAGTCATCCTCCCTTAAAGAATCAACTTTCTTCTCTCTCCAGTGGATATAGCAGCCTCTGTCCTGTTACCTTGGTACTTTGGGGCTTTTGGAGGTTGTTTGTACGTTTGTTTGTGGTACTGGACTTTGGACTCAGGGCCTCACTCTCATTAATAAGCACCCACCCCACCACTTGAACCAAACCTCCAGCTTAGACCTGTCATTTTTAGGAAGATAAAATGAATTCTTGGTATGGATCACATTCTTCCTGATAGTTTCATTAGAATAGTGCATAAGACTGGTCTGTCAGCAGTGGGTCCTGGAGTCCTTGTGCGGAGGGCACGTGCATATCACTAGTGGCCTGAGCCTGTGCTGGGCTGCACTGTGACCACCTTTATTCTTTTTTTTTTTTTTTTTTTTGTCGGCCGTGGGGCTTGAACTCTGGGCCTGGGCGCTGTCCCTCAGCTCTTCAGCTCAAGGCGAGCGCTCTACCACTTGAGCTACAGCGCCACTTCCGGTTTTCTGGTGGTTTATTAGAGATAGGAGTCTCACGGTCCCTCCTGCCTGGGCTGGCTTTGAACCGCGATCCTCAGATCTCAGCCTCCTGAGTAGCTAGGATTACAGGCGTGAGCCACCAGCGCCTGGCGTGACCACCTTTATTCTAAGGTGCTCTTCTCTCCTAGCCAACTGGGAGAGGCAGCAAGTTGTCTGTCTGGTGACTATAGTGCTCCTTTCATGTCTTGCTTTCAGTTCTCCCAATGCCTTGATTGGCTCATGTGTTCTGTAATAGAATTGCTACATTCTCAGCTGATAGTTTTGCTGAGCTCTAGTAGTACCTTCCCCCTCTGAAAAAGTTCAAGAAGGAATGAGAAAGTGCTATCACTTCAGGGCTAAGTTTCCTTGAGGACAGACAGACCTCTTTCTCCCCAAATCCCAGGCCGTCAGCAAAGGAGAATGGGTAGCACAGGCGCCCAAAGCAGAAATACACAGTCACCTCCCTCTTCCCCATCCATCCCAGTTCTTTAGCAGGTGGCTTTTTTGGAAAAGGTCCACTTATACAAGGTGGCTCATGCCTATAACCTAGCTTCTCAGGAGGCTGAGATCTAAAGATTGATGTTGGAAGCCAGCCCAGGCAGGAAAGTCTGAGGGACACTCATCTCAAATTAACTATCATAAAGCCAGATGTGAAACTGGGGCTCAAGTGGTAGAGTACTAGCCTTGAGTGAAAAAGCAAAGGACAGCACCCAGGCCCTGAGTTCAAGCCCCTGTGCTGGCACACACACACACACAAAATGTTAGTAAAAACAACAGGGGCTCCTTCCTCCATTGGAAGGAGTGCGTGTGCACCTATGGTGTGTTTAGAAGGTGTCTGCTGCAGGAGCACTGGGGATGAGGTAATTTACTCTCTGAGAAGCCAAGCAGGTGTCAGAAGATAAACCTGTGTCTTAAGCTGGAGGAGGGCTTGTGCCTGCCCAGGCTGCACATGTACCCTGTATCTTTTTTTTTTTTTCTTTCGGTCAGTTGTGGGGCTTGAACTCTGAGCTTGGGCGCCGTCCCTCAGCTCTTCAGCTCAAGGCTAGTGCTATACCACTTGAGCCACAGTGCCACTTCCGGTTTTCTGAGTGGAGATAAGAGTCTCACAATCTTTCCTGCCCGGGCTGGCTTTGAACCATGATCCTCAACTCTCAGCCTCCTAAGTAGCTAGAATTACAGCTGTGAGCTACCAGCGCTAGTCCTCTATGTCTTTTGGGTAGTTTTCCTGCTTTGCATATGAAGGACATTCAGAACAGGGTATGTCTGTCTTTCTCATGGTTGAACTAGTAGCAAGGAGTACCATGTAGGTAACATTGACAAATGAGAAGCCCACCCCTTGAGATCCTAGCAGCTACTAACTGATGCCTATGTCTTGCAGAACTGCTGGAACTGTGGCCGCAAAGCTAGCGAGACGTGCAGTGGCTGCAACATTGCCCGGTACTGCGGCTCTTTCTGCCAGCACAAGGACTGGGAGCGGCACCACCGCCTCTGTGGCCAGAGTCTGCATGGTCAGAGTCCCCATAGCCAGAGCCGGCCGCTGCTTCCTGGAGGGAGGGGCTCCTCAGCCAGGTCAGCTGACTGCAGTGTGCCCAGCCCAGCCCTAGACAAGACCTCGGCCACCACCTCACGTTCCTCAACTCCTGCCTCTGTAACAGCCATTGATGCCAATGGACTCTGAGCCCCAGACTCCACCCACCCTTATGGCCACTCCATGTGACAGAGCCCTTGCAGCAAGGATTTGGCTGTTGGATCCAGAAGCTGTTGGGTCATTGTCAAGAACTGAACTGAAAGCAGGATTTGACCAAGCCTCCCTGCAACTTGTCAAGAATGTGCAGAAGAACTAGTATGCTGGGCTTTGCACACAGGTGGCCTGAACTGCCTCCTCGGTGGCTCTCCCATGTTCCTCTCCCAGTCAGAGCTGGCTTAGCCAGCCCATTCAGTGCAGATCACCAGCTCCCCACCTTCTTCACTGGCAGACTGTCACAGTGCTGGCCAAGCTGGCTGCAACTCACCCCTGTACTATCTAGTTCCTGCTCCATCCATGGGCCTCATGTGCCAGAGGCCAGGACGCAGACAGCAGTCTGAGGAGGCCTCTCAGCCTCACAGGGACTTGGGTAGGCGAAAAGCTGTACTCAGGACACATCTTCTGCCCAGAAAAGGGCAAAAAAGAAGCCAGTACTTCAGTTGAAGCACTCCTAATGATAAGAAGGAATAAAAATAAGTTTTCCCTGACATTGAAAAGTATTTTGGACTAGTTTCCAACCTGGCTGGCTCCTTTAGTTTGGAACCCATTTTTCTTCCATATCTCATTTGATTTTGTGTGTGCAGAAAATAGTTTCCAGCACTTGGACTGGTCCAAGAGAAAATGGGACTCCTTTGTGTTATTCTTCTCTCTGAGCATGCTGGCCAAACTAGTATCATTAAATTACTAAGCAGGTCATCTCTTGGAAGTTCAGGGCTCTCTGCCACTGCTTGACTGTTTGCATAGTCATCTTCTATGTCCTTTTCTCTCAGACCGCATATGACCGACTCTGGGCGTTGTCTGCCTGTGGGCTCTGGTTAGTACTGTTAGGCTGCAGCAGTTACATGAGCTGTGCCGGAGTGTGAGGACTTAGCACAACAGGCTGGTGTTAGCTGAGCAGCCCTCTGGACCTGAAGAGGCTCCTCACACCTGGTTCCTGGCATTATGGCTATGACATCAATTCATTATCAGGCACACAGGCTCAGTCTCCCTTCTCACATGACCTGTTCAGTACATTCCTTCAGCTCAGGAAGATTGTGTGACATGTAAGAGCTGTTTGGGAAAGCTTTCTACCTGCTCCCCTGGCTGTCCAGCCCCTCTCTACTCCCCAGAGTGGTGGGTGCTCCTTCACACCTTCTCTGCCAGCACAGGGACCTACTCCCACTTATTCCCCACTGAGCTCCAGCATCCTCCCCTGCCCTGTGGAATCACTTGGGGTGAGTTGCTTGACCTTGTTCCTGCTGGCTTTTGAAAGCCATGGTTAGATTGCCACTCTCTGTGCAGTGACCTGATCCGAATTAAAAGCCCTATTGGTCCCATACAGGAAAGTGATGGGCATGGTGGCTTCGGCCTCCCATATAGTTGTAACATACTTAAGAGCTTTTAAGTCCCTACTGTACTTTAATCAAAGATTTTCAGTTTTTCAAAGAAACTTGGTACAGGGAACCTTAAGACTTGCTGGAGCTGGGAAGGTGGCTCAGTGGTGGAGTGCCTGCCTTGCATACATCAGGCCCTGAGTTTGATTCTCTACACCACATATGCAGAAAAAGCCAGAAGCAGCACTGTGGCTCAAGTGGTAGAGCGCTAGCCTTGAGCTGAAGAGCTGAGGGACAGCGCCCAGGCCCAGAGTTCAGGCCCCATGACCAACAACAGTGACAACAACAAAAAGACTTGCCAGGCACTGGTAGCTCATACCTATAATCCTAGCTACTCAGGAGGCTGAGATCTGAGGATCACAATTTAAAGCCAGCCCGAGCAGAAAAGTCCCCATGAGATTCATCTTTAATTAACCACTCAAAAATCAGAAGTGGAGCTGTGGCTCAAAGCGGTAGAGCATTAGCTTTGAACAAAAGAGCTCAGGCCCTGAATTCAAGCCCTAGGACCAACAAAAATATCAAATACCTAGACTTCCATTGTATAAAGTAAGGTGGACCCAGAGAATGAACAAGTAATTACACTATTTTAGCATGTAATACAAGACCTAGAGCCCTTCAGTCTGCCCAGTACAGCCTGGCCTTCCTCTCCCACACCTATCTCCCGGAGCCTCTTCCGCTGGGAGGTCACTGTCTCAGGGGAAAAATCAGTTAGCACAAGAGTGTCTTGGGTCTGTCCTTGGCTCACTTTCTTCATTTAAAGTTGTCACTGACCACAAGACTAGCAGTGTAACTGTTGTACTGGTTAGAATAAGAGCCAAAATCACTGGGCAGTGGAGATGCATGCCTATAATTCCAGCACTCAAGGCTGAGGCAGAAGGATCCTGAGTTTTAACACCCATGTCTTTTAGTGGGGGAAAACAAAACAAACAGAACCAAGACTGTTATCAGGATCTTGTCGTGGTCTTCCACAGGGAAACTCATAGAGCCTGGCCTACTTTTGTAAGCTATGGTTCCAGTCCAAAGAGTTTCTGTTTGAGTCTGTAAAGCCATTCCAGACTGCTTGGCTCCTTGGCTCCTGTGCTCTAAGAGTCCATCTGGATTACAGGCTTGAGACACCACCACATTCAGTTCCCTTTCAATGTCTTCAGTCTGTGTATTGTCACACACAAGGCACGGGCACCATCCATGATTTCCCTTTCTCCGACTCCATTCTTCAGCTCCCTGGACAGGAGGAAAAGCAGCATCTGGGTGAGGTAGGAGCCATTCTAGGCTCCCCACTTGGTTTCTGGTCTCTACTGACCACTTCTACCAGTTTGGGAGTGGATAGACAGACTCCCATGCATCTCCACTGGGATTTTTAGGAAGTATTAGAGTCAGGCGGCTCAGAGGCATGGCCTCTACAGTTGATCCAAATGAAGAAGGCCAAGAGTGGCTGGAGTGGTTCAGAAGGTGGCAGAGCATGTCCAGAGGAGAAGGTGAGCCAGCCCTTGGCTTGCTGAGGGGTCCTGGCGGTGGAGGGGCTTCACAGTATGAGGACAAATCACAGGAACCAGCAGACACCAAGGGCAGCCCACGTGGGAGCCATCTTTAAATGTTTTTGGTGGTTCTCTGGGTGCCAGTCCCCTTGTACTTTCAGCTCATGCAGTGTTGAAGGCTTGGGAAGAAGCTGAGTGGTTGCACCTCACGGGTGCCCCTGCTCAGTAGACTTGCTCATGTGTAGCTGGCGTGGGGGAAGGTGCAATGTGTTGCTCTTCTTGAGTCACTGCTGAGTCTTGTCTTCATGAATCTACACGTGGAAGTGGCTGTATGGGCCTTGGCTGCGGCCCTCCCTCTGCATTTTGGGCTCCGTGGTCCATTAGGGCGTGTTGGTCCACTGGGAGCGCATCACTTCTTGCCATCAGCTTGAGCATCTTCTGCTTCCAGACAGAAAAATTTCCATGTTGCTTCCCAGCCCCGTCACCTCCTCGTAGAGGTATAGACAGTAGGTCTTCAGGATGTCTAGTCATGTTTGCTTGAAGCTTCATGACACAATTGCAATTGTATGATAATGAATTCTTTGGAGAGAAAATATAAAGGATGTCCAGATGGCCATTTGTCCAAGAAACTGTAGGAGGGATTGTGGACTGAATAAATCATTACAAATAGGACACATCTTGGAGGCTTTCTTAAGAACTGGACTAGAACCAAGGTTTCCAGGCTCCTGAGTCAGGAGAGCAAGCCAATGCGGATGGTTTTTAGCTATTTGCAGAGAATTGGGTGGTGGCATGTTTGAACCAAATGTGAGAAAAGCCAGAAGGACCTGGACTGCTCCAGCATGGGCCAGATGGCCAGCTGTCAAAGAAGAGCCCTGCCCCAGCTGGCAGGGACAGCAGGACAGCTGCTCAGCAGAGCCCTTCTGGCTCTCGAGAATAGTTCTGTGAAACCAAAATGCTCACTACCTGCCTCTTTGCCCAGTGCATGGACATGTATTTTCCAAAGATGGTGGAGCAGGTAACCAGCCTATTCTGAGCCAAGAGAAAGTTGGGAGGCCTGAAGGCAGGCCTGCAGCCAACCCTCCAACTCCCACTCCACAGCCCAAGAGGAGGCACTTCACGCACAGACCCATCTGGTTAGGCCTCAGACTACCCAGGGTGTGCTCCCACGGATGCTTATACCAAATAGGGCATGTGCAGCTGGTGTCTGTAGGGGACAGCCCGGCCCTGCCTTGTAGTTGGCGGAAAGAAGCAGCAATAAGCATTGGGTGAATGGTGAAAGGGATATTTAGCTTTCCAAGTTCCTGATGAGGCTCCAAAGGCTCCATCCATAAAAGAAAGGCAGTGATGTAAATAAATAGAATCTAAGCCCCGCGTGCGGTGTCAAGGGGCTGCTGAGTGGGAGCCGCTGTGGGATGCGCCAGTCTGCTTCTGTACTTCACCATTTGACTCTGATAAGAACTTTTGTTACTCAACTGTGCATAACTTATTTAAGGTACTGTATAAACGAACCAAAACCGTTAAATATGTATTTAGTTTGTTCTACTTAGTCAATAAAAAGGCTATATTCCTTTTCTGACTCAAGCTGGATTGGGCTGGGAGGCTGGCGTGGTACCGTGGTGGGCTATGCGTGATGGTGGCCTGCACTAGGCCTGGGTCCCCTTCTCCCACTTCGAGTCTTGGTGCTTGGACCATTCTTGCTACGTCATAAAGATGGAGCATGCGTGCGCTTAGACCCTGGAACCGCTCTATAAAGCCAGCGACAATGGCTTGTCTGTCACAAGTGGGGCTATGTCCATCCAGAAAGCCTGCAGTTAAGTTTCACCAACAGCTTAGGGACACTCCTGTCACCATTAAGTGACTTTTGGCAAGGAGATTTCAACCAAGGTGTGAAAAATAAAATAATGGATGTGGGATCTGTTTTCTAATAACTCCTCTTTTGTTTTTCTTTTTGTCGGTCATGAGGCTTGAACTCTGGGCCTGGATGCTGTCCTTGAGCTCTTTTTGCTCAAGGTTAGTTCTCTAACACTCTGGCTACTTCCAGTTTTCTAATGGTTAATTGGAGATATGAGTCTCAAGGTCTTTCTTGCCCAGGCCGCCTTCCTGCCCAGGTTATCTTCAGATCAGCCTCCTGAGTCGCTAAGATGACAGGCATGAGCCCCCACCAGCTCCTGGCAACTCACATATTTTCTTTTTTTTGGAGGTGGGGAGGGACCCGGTCGTGGAGCCTGAACTCGGCCTGGGTGCTGTCCCTCAGCTCCTCAGCTCAAGGCTAGCGCTCTACCACTTGAGCCACAGCGCCACTTCCAGCTTTTTTTCTTTTTGCTTATGTGGTGCTGAGGAATTGAACCCAGGGCTTCATGCATGCAAGGCAAGTGCTCTACCACTGAGCCACCTTCCCAGCCCCAACTCACGTATTTTCATACCAAGTTTTTTTTGTTCTTTTTGTTTTACCAGTCCTGGGGCTTGAACTCAGGGCCTGGACACTGTCCCAGAGCTTCATTTGCTCAAGGCTAGCACTCTACCACTTAAGCCACAGCACCACTTGCAGCCTTTTCTGTTTATGTGATACTAAGGAATCAAACTCAGGGCTACATGCATGCTAGGCAAGCACTCTACCACTAAGCCACCTTCCTAGCCCTCTTACCAAATTTTAACACTAATATTAACATGCTTAGAAATATGACTGTTGAGGGGCTGGGAAGGTGGCTCAGTGGTAGAGCGCTTGCCTTGCATGCATGAGGCCCTGGGTTCGATTCCTCAGCACCACATAAGCAAAAAGCCGGAAGTGGTGATATGGCTCAAGTGGTAGAGCGCTAGCCTTGAGCTGAAGAGCTGAGGGACAGCGCCCAGGCCCAGACTTCAGGCCCCATGACCAGCAAAAAGAAAAGAAAAGGGGGCTGGTAAGGTGGCTCTGATAGAACACTTGCCTTGCATGCTCGAGGCCCTGGGTTCGATTCCTCAGCACCACATAAGAAAAAAGCCAGAAGTGGTGCTGTAGCTCAAGTGGTAGAGTGCTAGCCTTGAGCTGAAGAGCTGAGGGACAGCGCCCAGGCCCAGAGTTCAGGCCCCATGACCGGCAAAAAAAAAAAAAATACGACTGTTGCGCTGGGAAGGTGGCTCAGTGGTAGAGTGCCTGCCTTGCACGCGTGAGGCCGTGGTTCGATTCCCCAGCACCAGATAAGCAGAAAAAGCCGGAAATGGCGCTGTGGCTCAAGTGGTAGAGTGCTAGCCTGAGCTGAAGAGCTGAGGGACAGCGCCCAGGCCCAGACTTCAGGCCCCATGACCAGCAAAAAGAAAAGAAAAGGGGGCTGGGAAGGTGGCTCTGATAGAACACTTGCCTTGCATGCTCGAGGCCCTGGGTTCGATTCCTCAGCACCACATAAGAAAAAAGCCGGAAGTGGTGATATGGCTCAAGTGGTAGAGCGCTAGCCTTGAGCTGAAGAGCTGAGGGACAGCGCCCAGGCCCAGAGTTCAGGCCCCACGACCAGACCCAAAAAAAAAAAAGAAAAAAAGAAAAAAGAAATATGACTATTAAGTCCAGTTTTCATAGACAAGACCTACGTGATTTCTCTGTTCACCTTTATTTGCCTAATGGTAGTAACC